AAAAACATAATGTACCAAAACCTCTGGAATCCTGAAAAAAGCTACATTAAGAGAAAAGTTTTTGGCACTAAGCAACCATATCAAGAAGACAGAAAGATCTCAAATAAAACCCTACTCTGTTGCCTAAGGAAACTAACAAAACAAAAACAAATGAATCCCAAAGATAGAAGAAGAAAAAAAATAACCAAAATCAGAACAGAGCTAAAAAAAAAATTGAAATGAAAAAATGCAAAAGATAAATGGAAAAAAAAAGCTAGTCTTTGAAAGGATAAACAAGATTAATAGACCACTAGCCAGGTTCAGAGAGAGAGAGAGAGAGAGAGAATTCAAATAATTACAGTAGAAATGAAAAAGGCAATATTACAATTGATCTCAAATAAATACAAAAGATCCTCAGAGAGTACTACACTGGGAATTCCTAAAGAGGGAAGGGAGGGAGGAGTACAAGTGATCCCAAACTACCCACTGGGTACCATGCTCACTATTTGGGAGACAGATTCATCCAAATATTACAATTGATCTCAAATAAATGCAAAAGAGCCTCAGATACTCCATTTATATGCATGTAAACTAGAAAATTTCACAGTAAATTGATAAATTCCAGGAAACACACAAACTCTCGAAGTTGAAACAGGAAGAAATTGAAACCCTGAACAGACCAATAATGAGTTACACAATTGAATCAGTAATTAAATTGCCAGTCTAAAACTGTTCTGGATTAGATGGATTCACAGCCAAATTTTATGATATGTGCAAGAACTGGTACCAATCCTACTGAAGCTATGCTAAAAAATTAAGGGAGAGGGACTCCTCCCTAACTCATTCTATGAAGCCAATATCATCCTGATACCAAAATCTGGCAAAGACACAGCAAAAAAAAAAAAAAGAAAACCACAGGCTAATATCTCTGATGAACATAGATACAAAAATCCTCAATAAAATACTAGAAACCACATTCAACAGCACATCAAAAAGATCATTCACTATGATCAAATGGGCTTTATTCCCGGGATGAATATATGCAAATCAATAAATGTGATCAACCACATAAACAGAATTAAAAATAAGAACTGCATGATCATCTCAATAGATGCAGAAAAGGATAAAATCCAACATCTCTTCATCATAAAAACCATCAACCATCTAAGTACTAAAGGAATATACCTAAAAATAATAATCTATGATATCTATGACAAAGCCACAGCCAATATTATACTAAATGGGCAAAAGTTGGACGCATTTTCTCTAAGAACTAGAATAGGACAAGGATGTCCATTCTCACCACTTCTAGCCAGAGCAATTAAGCTAAGCAAGGAAATAAATATAAAATATCCAAAAAGGAAGTGAGGAAGTCAAATGATCTCTCTTTGCAGATGATACAATTCCACCAAAAGACTTTTGGACTTGATAAGTGAATTCAGTAAAGTCTCAGGATACAAAATCAACATTCAAAAATCAGTAGCATTTCTATACACCAACATCATTCCAGCTGAAAACCAAATCAAGAACACAGTCCCATTTACAGTGCCCACAAAAAAGCAAAACACCTGATAATACATTTAACCAAGGAGGTGAAAGAAGTCTAGAACGAGAACTACAAAACTCTGCTGAAAGAAATCAAAGATAACATTAACAGATGGAAAAACATTCCGTGCTCATGGATTGGAAAAATCAGTATTGTTAAAATGTTTATACTGCCCAAAGAAATCTATAGATTCAATAAAATTCCTACCTACTGATGTTATTTTTCACAAAATTAGAAAAAAACAATTATTAAATTTATATGGAAGTAAAAAAGAGTCCAAATAGTCAAAGCAATCCTAAGCAAAAAGAACAAAGTCAGAAACATTACATTACTGGACTTCAAATAGACTAATAAAACAGAATAGAAAACCCAGAAAAAAAAGTTGCTCACCTACAATCAATTGATCTTTGGCAAAATCAGCAAAAATAAACATTGGGAAAAGGGCATTCTGTTCAATAAATAGTGCTGGGAGGCTGGGTGCAGTGGCTCATGCGTATAATCCCAGCACTTTGGGAGGCTGAGGTGAGAGGAATGCCTGAGCTCAGGGATTTGAGAACAGCCTGGGCAACTTGGCGAGACCTCATCTCTACCATAAAAATCAAAAATTAATTGGGTGTTGTGGGGTATGCCTGTAGTTCCAGCTTCTTGGAAGGTTAAGGTGGAAGGATTGCCTGAACCCAGCAAGTTGAGGCTGCGGTGGCCATGAGAGAGCCACTGCACTCCAGCCTGGGTGACAGAGTGAGACTCCAACTCAAAAAAAAAAAAATTATGCTGGGAAAACAGGCTAACCATATGCAGAAGAATGAAACTGGACCCCTTCTTCTCACCATATATAAAAATTAACTCAAGACAAATTAAGGAACTTAACTGTAAGACCTTAAACTATAAAAATCCTAAAAGAAAACCTAGGAAACATTCTCCCAGACATCAACCTAGGTGAAGAATTTATGACCAATTCCTCAAAAACAAACATAGTATAAATAAAAATTGACAAGTGGGACCTAATTAAACTAAAAAACTTCTGCATAGCAAAAGAACCTATTAACAGAATAAAGAGACAACCTACAGAATAGGAGAAAATATTTGCAAACCATGCATCAGACAAAGGGCTGGTATCCAGAATCTACAAGGGACTGACAAGAAAAAAAATGGACCCATTAAAAAGGGAGGGGCGCACACATCATCAATAAGTGTACCTGATCTCAAACCAGGCGAAGTGAGGATCCAAGGGAGGCCCAAAGTTTACCTGTATGATGACCACTTATCTACCTAATCCTGAATTGCACCCCATGTCTTTAAAATAAATGAAAATAATTTTTAAATAAATATGTGGGCAAAGGACATGAACAGACACTTCTCAAAAACAGACTTATAAGTGTCAAACAAATATATGAAAAAATGTTCATCATCACTAATTATCAGAGAAATGCAAATCAAAACCACAATGAGATGCAATCCCACACCAATAAGAATGGCTATGAATAATAAGTTAAAAAATAGGGCAACCCCCTCAGGTCCCCTCCCACTGTGGAAGCTTTTCTGTCCTCTCAATAAATCCTGCTTTGTAAAAAAAAAAACAAACCATGTTGGAGAGGTTGCAGAGAAAAGAAAATACTCATACACAGTTGGTAGGAATGTCCAGTTTCTTTGCAAAGCAGTTTGGAAATTTCTGAAAGTACTAAAAATAGGTATACAATTCAACCCAGCAATTTTAGTACTGGGTACATACTCAAAGACTCATAAATCATTCTACCAAAAATATACCTGCACTTGTATATTTTTGAAGCACTATTCACAACTGCAAAGACATGGAACCAACTTAGAGCCCATCAATAGTGGATTAGACTTAATATGGTATATATAAACCATGGAATATCACACAACCATACAAAAGAATACAATCATGTCCTTTACAGCAACATGGATGCAGCTGGAAGGCGTTATTATTATTATTATTGTTGTTATTATTGAGTTAGAGTCTCCATCGCCCAGGCTGGAGTGTAGTGGCAGGCTCACAGCCACCCCAGTGTCGACCTGCTGGTCTCAAGCAATCCTTCCACCTCAGCCTTCCAAGTAACCGGAACTACAGGCACACGCCACCATGCCCAGTTAATTTTTTTATTTGTTGTAGAAACGAGGTCTCTCCAGTTGCCCGGGTTGGTCTCTAACCCCTGGACTCAGGCAGTCCTTTTGCCTCGGCCTTCCAAAGTGCTGGGATACAGGCTTGAATCACCGCGCCTGACTGGAGGCCATTATTCTAAGCGAATTAACACAGAAGCAGGAAACCAAGTACCACATCTTCTCACTTATCAGTGGGAACTAAACACTGGATACACACAGACATAAAGATGGGAACAACAAACACTGAGTACTCCTAAAGAGGGGAGGGGGGAGGGGGACAAGTGATCCAAAACTGCCTATTGGGTACCATGCTCACGATTTGGATGCCAGATTCAACAGAAGCCCAAAACCTCACCACCACACACTATACTCATGTAACAAACCTGCACATGTATCCCCGGATTTAAAATAAAAATATAGATTTGGGGTGATAATAATGTGCCGGTGTAATTTCATTTAATGTAACAAATGTACTCTGGTTCAGGATGTTGATAAAGGAAGAGACTAGGAAGTGGGGAGTTGATATATGAGAACACTCTTGGCCCTGCAGGCATGGTGGCTCAACTCCTATAATCCCAGCACTTTGGGAGGCAGAGGTGGATAGATCACTTGCACCCAGGAGTTTCAGACCACCTTGAGCAGCATAGTGAGACCTCATCTCTACAAAAAAAAAAAAATCAAAAAATTAGCTGGGCATGGTGGCACACATTTGTAGTCCCTGCTACTTGAGAGGCTGAGATAAAAGAATAGAATCACCTGAGCCCAGGAGATAGAGGCTGCGGTAAGCCGTCATTGTACCACTGCACTCAAGCCCTGGTGACAGAGTGACTCTGACTCAAAAAAAAAAAAAAAAAGAAAAGAAAAAGCAGAAAGAAAGAAAGAAAAGAAAAGAAAACATATGGGAACTCTGTACTTTCTGTTTCCTCTTTCTTGTGAATCTGAAACATCTCTAAAAAATAAAGTATATTAGAAATATAAAGAAAAAGGGAGAGAGAAAGAAAGAGTGATTCCTTATAAGAATGAATGAAAGTGCCACAAAAGATGACTAGATGGGAACTTTTAGACTCTGGAAGGGCGCGCCACTGTAAAGAAGTCATCCTATGGGTATAAGCCCGTCATGTACAGGACTCCTGTCTGAAAATCTCGTTCTTCTGGAAACCGTGTCTGCTGGTCAACATCCCAGCAGTTTTTTCACCCTGCAGGCTTAGTCCTCCTCTTCCTATTTCCTTCTCCCTGCATGCATTCTGAAAGCCTAGTGTTGCGCAAGAGGCCTCTCCTTTGTGTTTATGAAGGACCTGCGTTCTCCCAGGCTCAGTTCTCTTGGACTCTCCAGAGCTCAGCATCTCTGAGAAAAATGAAACCCTCCTGGCTTCAGCAACTCATGGCACACCACTTCTCTCTGCTGTTCCTCTTTTGCATGTTCCTGCTGCTGCTGCTGCTGCTACAGGTAATCAGGTTTTACCAGAAGAGGAGATGGCTGATCAGAGTCGTGCATCGGTTCCCTGGACCTCCGGCCCACTGGTTCTATGGACACACCGAGGTAAGAAGAAGAATTAATTGGGTGGGGAGTTTAGGGACAGAGAGAAGAGGTATTAAAAAACAACAGTGCACACTTATGGGGCATTATATAATATGCAATATTCTTTCACACAAATCCTATGATGTAGGAAGGACAATTATGGTTATTCCTATTTTGCAGATGAGAAAGCTGAAGCCTAAAATAGTCATACGACTTTTAAATACTGCACACCTCATAAGTGACAGAGTTGAAATGTGAACCCTAGTCTTTTGATTCAGGGCCAGGGTGCTTACTATTTCCAGGTCTCTGAGTGCTTTAGAGAGAAATATAGCAAGAAAATTTTTAACAAGAAATATGAAGAAAACTTGGTTTCCTAAAAATCTGGAAATAAGAGAATATTTAGCAAATTAGAAAAGAAAGTAGAAAGGTGAGCAATTGCAAAGGAATAAAAAGTACATGAGACTTCACTGCTTTGGACAGAGATAAAGCATGAGTGAAGAAATCCAGAGCAAAGAAGGGGTAGGGAGTTAAGTGGTTAGTAAGTATCTACTTTGTGCCAGGAATTTTATGTTTATAATTACACCTAATTTTCACAGAAGCTTTGTGAAGTAGATATGGTTTTTCCTATTATACGTGTGAAGAAATCAAGTTCTGAAGACTGAGGTAATGAGTGTTAGGCTGGGATTTGAAGTTAAATCTCCAAAGCCAAGGCTGGAATGAGAAGGTCAGTCACTCAGCACCAGGTCCTGAGCACATCATGCCCTGTGTCTGGAAAATTCCACAGAGGTGCTGGAGACACATTGAGCTTTTAACAACATGTGAGCATGTCTTTTGGGGTGATGTCTACAGGCCCTCAACTAAGCACATGGTCCATCTGAGGGATCTGAAGTGACAAACATTAGTAACACATCAAAACTTATCTTACAACAGTTTTACCCAGAAAAAGAGTATGAGAAGTATACTGAGCTGATGGAAAAATACCCACGTGCTTTTCCCTTGTGGATTGGACCCTTTACAATGTTCTTCATTATCCATGACCCAGAGTACGCCAAGACTCTACTGAACAGAAAAGGTAAAAACCAGGAAAGATCTACGGTCCAGAGCAACAACAGATAGGACCTCGGGGTATCTGTAGCACCAGGGAAAGACATTTTGAAGCATTTTAAAGGGAAATCCATGCTTTGATTTACTAAAGGGAAGATTCCGTGCCCTCCTTGACATCATATTGAGGACTCGGGTGAGGGCCATTATGGAAGATTATCTGATTCATTTCCAAGCAACACACTCTCTCTACATCACAGACTTTTTCTTATCCTTTTACCACACTTATCTTAGGCCCTCAGATGACCGCTTCTCACCACTCATTGTGAACACTCAATGGGTTGGAGATGGGGAGGTAACCAGATTACAGACTGATTTATTTTCTGATTAAAAAAATTAATAGCTACCCTAATGGGTGTAGAATGGTCTCTTGTGGTGATTTTGATGCACATTTCTCTAATGATTATGTTGAGTATTTTTTTTCTCCCATTTATTTTATTTTATTTTATTTTTTAATCAGTATTTTTTATTATGATTTTGTGGGCTACAGTTAAGGGTTAGGTGTACAATTACGTTTCATTCAGGCACCCTGTTGATAAGAGGTGTTTCCCCATCCCCAGACAGATATTTGCGACTGTTAATCCCATCCCCCCCCACAGCTTCATGTTGAGTATTTTTTCATGCACTAATTGGCCATTTCTGTGTTGTCTTGGGGAAATGTCTATTCAAGTTCTTTGTGCATTTTAAAATCATGTTTTAGGTTTCTTTTGTTGTTGAATTGTGTGAATTATTTATATATTCTGGATGTTAATATTTTACCAGACAGATGATTTGTAACTATTTTTGCCATTTCTATTTATGATGTCCTTTTAAAAAGATGCACAGAAGTTTTTGATTTTATTAAGTCTAATTTATCTTATTTTTTCTACCTGTACTTTTGACATCATGTCCAAGAAATTTTTGCAAATTACAATGTCATGAGGATTTTGCTTATGTTTCCATGTTTTCTTCTAAGAGTTTTATAGTTTCATCTCTCATTTCAGTTCTTTGATTCATTTTGTGTTAAATTTTTTATGGTGTAAGGTTCACATTTGCTTTTTGATAGATTAGTAATTAGATAGATGGATAGATAGATATTGCCAAACATCTATACATGTATAAGTATTGTCTGAGTTAATAGGGGTTGCAAAATAATAATTTCTTTATATCTAGTCTACATTATTCAGCTTTCACTATATATAATTAGGAACTTTCCTCTTCTCCCTACCCCATCTCCCGCTCTCCTATTCTCTTTCTCTCTCTTCCTCTCTGAATATCCATATGAACTCATGGATTAAGAATTCAGTGTGTTGTATTTTATTACCATCATTATCTTTTTTGATGGTCAACTTGTCTCAGATGTGGAAGAGGGGAGGGAGCAAGATGAGAGGCTGTTAAACATGGGCCCAGTCATTCAAGGCTGAGCAATGGGGCAATAGGGTGCATAAAAGAAGAGAGGCAATGTGAATAGCTGTGCATTTTGAAATAATACCAAGACTGCTGTGTGACAAAGAATGGAGGGAGTCAAGGCTGAAGACAAGGAGACCTTGTGCTGCTGCACTGTCCAAGGGAGAGATAATGGAGACCCAAACAAAGATAGAGAGGTGGAGATGGAAATAACTCTGTGGATTCAACAGATGCTAAGGTGGTTGAATGAATGGACAAGATATATTTGACGTGGTGTCAAGTTGTCAAGCAGTTCCTAAGCAATAGTAACTGCTGAAGTTGTGAAGTTGTTCTGCCACACATTCATAAATTCAGTCAACAAAAAGACAATGGGCCTGAATGGATGTGGACTATTTATTATTCATGGCACAACAGGTGTCATAAGCTTCACATTCACCTAGGCTCCACTAACTCCTCAGTACTCATAGGGATGACATGGAGCAACCCAGGTAAGCACTGTGCACACCACGTCTATGGAAGCAGTAATGGAGGACACAATCTGGCTAATAAAACAGTTAAGATGAGTATAAGTTGGAGGTTTCTATGGTAGATGTCATAGATGGCCTCATTGTCTATCATGAAGGCACAATTAGAGGGCTCCAGGGTGGTTAGGATGGAGTTGTAGGGCTCAACTACCATTGTAGAAACCTGAGGAACTGGGTAAATAGATCATTTCAGTCTGAATTTCTTGGTATAATTCAACAGAGAGATGTTCCATCAGCAGGGGGGTGAGTCCAGAACCAGTTCCCCCACCAAAGTTGTGGAAAACCAAGAAGCCCTGAAGACCTGTGCATTGGTCAGCCAACTTGCTAATTCAGTCCAAGACAAGATCAAAGGTGTCCTTGCCAATGGTTTAGTGCCCTTGAGCATAGTTATTGGCAGCTTCTTCCTTGTCAGTGATAGACTGCTCGTGGTGGAAAAGCTGAAAGTAGGTGCCAGTGTAAACTTTGCCAATGACTCTGTGTTCCAGGTCTACAAACACTGTCCTTGGCACATGCTTGCCAGATCCAGTCTCATTGCAAAGGGTATTAAAGGAGTCATCTCCTCCCCAAGGTCTTGTCACTTGGCCCATCAGATGCACTCGTGCCTGATGAGGACTTGTAGTGTTCTGCCCATCAGATGCACTCATGCCTGATGAGGACTTGAGTGTTCTGCCATGCTGGAGGAGGTGAAGAGACAGCAACAAGGATCTTCCGCTAGCAGACTACCAAGGAGTCCAAGGAGAAGTAGTCCATAGCATCCTCTCATAATCCTTTTATTTTCCATAAAGTTGGTAGTTATTTCCCCACTTTCATTTCTGATCTTAGTAATTTGATTCTTCTCTCTTTTATTCACAGTAATCTAACTAAATGTTTGTCAATTTTGGTCATCTTTTCAAAGAAACAGCTTTTGATTTTGTTAATTTTCTTTATTATTTCTTTCCTTTGATAGTTTTAGGTTTTGTTTGCTCTTCTTTTTCTGGTGTTTTTGCTGAATACCATAACATTAAGCATGTTTTTTTAATTTTCCTTTGTCTCAAAATATTTTCTAATTTCTCTTTTGATTTCTTACTTGACCCATTGGTTGTTTAAGAATGTCTTGTTTACACTTCTCAAAAGAAGACACACAAGTGGCCAACAAACATTAAAAAAAATGCTCAACATCACTAATCATCAGGGAAGTGCAAATTAAAATCACAATAAGATATCTATCACCCTACACCAGTCAGGATGGCTGATATTAGAAAGTCAAAGAACAACAGCATGGTTGTAAAGAAAAGGGAAAGCTCATTCACTGTTGGTATCTAAACTCTATGGAAAACAGTATGGGGATTTCTCAAAGAACTAAAAATCTTTTTAAATTTATTGAGATGTATTTTGTAAAATATGACCTATGCTGGAGAATAATCCACATGTACTAGAGAAAAATGTGTATTTTTCTGTTGTTGGGTGGAGCGTTCAGTACATGTCTGTTCAATGTAATTGGTTTATAGTGTTATTCAAGTTCTCTACTTCCTTATTAATCTTCTCTATAGTTTTTCTGTCCATTTTTTAAAGTAATGTAGTTAATTCTCCAACTATTATTTTAGAGTCTTCTATTTCTCCCTTCAATTCTGTCAACTTTTGCCTCAGATACTTTGGGGTATATATACAATTATTACTTCTTCTTGACGGATTGACTCTTTAACAATATATGTCTTTGTGTCACATTTTAAAGCATATTTTAACTGATAATCACCAAGTTCTTTTTGCTTACTGTTTGTATAGAATATTTTTCCATTCTTTTACTTTCAACTTCTTTGTTTCTTTAGCTCTAACATGAGTGTCTTGTAGGCAGCATATTGATTAACACTGTTTTTTATAAATCTGTTCTTATATTATCTGCCTTTAATTGGATAGTTTAATCCATTTACACTTAAATAATTAATAATAAGGTAGAACTTCTTTCTGCCATTCTGCTATTTGTTTTCTATACGTCTCATATTTTTGTCTTCTTCATTTCCTCCATTACTGTTTCTTTAGTGTTTAATAAACTTTTGTAGGGTAACATTTTTATTTTCTTTTTATTTTCTTGTCTGTATGTTTTCAGTTATTTTATTAGTGGTTACCTTGGGGATTATAATTAACATCTTAAAGTTATATTAACCTAAGTTAATTTCAACTTAACTTCAACAGTATTCAAAACCCTGCTCCTACACATCTCCATTCCTATATATTGTTAGTGTCACAGATCACATCTTTATACATTGTGTTCCCATTAACACAGACTTGCAATTACAATGGTATGCATTTGTATTTATCCCACATAAGAAAACAGAAGAGTTACAAACCAGAGATACAATAATACTGGTTTTTATGCTTACCTATGTAGTTACCTCTACAAATGCTCTTCATTTCTTTCCTATAGCTTTGAGTTACCATCTAGTGTCCTTTCATTTCAGCCTGAAAGTCCCCCTTTAGCATTTCTTATAGGTTAGGTCTATTCGTAACAACCCCCTGAGTTTTTGTTTATCAGAAAATGTCATAACTTCTTCTTCATTCTTAAGTATATATTTTGCTAAATATATAATTCTCAGTTGACTTTTCTTTTCCTTTCAGCACTCTGAATATGTCATCTCACTGTTTTCATGGTTTCTGATGAGAAATGGGCTGTTAATCTTATTAACATGATCCCTTGTATGTGATGAGTCGCTTCTCTCTTGTTGCTTTCAAGATTCTCTCTTTGTCTTTGTCTTTCAACAAATTGACTCTAAAATGCCTCAGTGTGAATCCCTTTCAGTCTATCTTGCTTGGAATTCATTGAACTTCTTTAATCTGAAGATTCATGTATTTCTTCAAACTTTGGAAAATTTCAACCATTATTTCTTCAAATATTATTTCTGTCTCTCCTCTTATCTCTGAGACTCCCATTGTGCATATGTTAGTATGCTTGATGATGTACCACAGGTCTCTTAGGTTCTATTTATTTTTCTTCATTCTATTTTCTTTTTCTGCTCCTCAGATTCAATAATCTTAAGTGACCTATCTCCAACTTTACTGATTCTTTTTCTGTCTGCTCAGGTCTGCTGTTGAAACCTTCATATAAACTTTTTACTTCAGTTACTGTATTCTTCAGCTCTAGTATTTCTACTTGGTCCCTGTTTATAACTTCTATCTCTTATTGATATTCTCTGTTCATACATCATTATTTTGGACACTTTTATCTTTGTCCATGGTTTCTTTTAAGTCTTTGAGCATATTTAAGACAATTGACTTAAAGTTGTCTAGTAAGTCCAATGTCTGCTCTTCCTCAAGGATAGTTTCTTTTCATATTTTTTTCCTGTGATTAGGCCATATTTCCTTACTTCTTTTGCATGCTTCTTAATATTTTGTTTAAAACTAGACATTTTAATAGTTATCTAATAAAGAAGAAATTTAAAAATAAAGATAAAAATTTAAAAAAGTAGGTCTTTCTTGGTTGACTTTGTATTGGGGCATAGTTTTAGTGTTTAGTCAGGCAATTTGCAATTTTGCCTTAGACTTTTCTTCTTTTTTTCATTTTGTGTAGGGACTGGCCAAAGTTGAAAGTCTATGGTGTTATTTTTTTTTCTGAATATGTTCCCTGCTCTGGGTATTCATGGGCTCCCATTATATGTGGGACCTTTTTAAGGCATTCATTCCCTCAAAAATTATCACTTCCCAGCTTTGTCTTCCAGATTTTGGTGTGTCTGTTGTTGCTTCAACTGTCTTTTTCCTCCAAGGAGCAGAGCTAATTCTTTTGCCTCTCGGTGTTTTCAAGTAACACTTCTTTTCCCTGAGACAAATCTGAGTTAGAAAAAATTTATGCAAGCCTCAGTTTTTCAGAGGACCCACACAGAGGTCAATAAACCCCACAAATTCCTTGAAAATAAAGACCATTCTGCTTTCTCTAGAATCCAGGACCTAGGACTCACTGCAAACGCAGGCTACTATCTTCAAGATTGCCACCACACTAGAGAGGGGTGTGGTGCAAGGTTAAGTTAAAATACCAACAACCTTCCCTATCCCGCTTCAATGACCTTTCTTCTGATTAATTGGTCACTTGGTTGTGGCAAACAATGAACTATTTCTAGAGATCTGATAAAGTTGACTATGACAGTCTTTGCTATATATATATATATGAGAGTCATTCAGGACATCTCTCCTGAAAGAATTCTTTGGGAAGAGATGGGCTAAATGACTCTTACTTCACTATTTTGCTGATGTCATTCATAGACATTATTTTTTAGAACGCTGAAATGTCTCCAGGAATAAGACAACGATTTTTTTATTGGCCTGAAATGTAGGCATACATATAATCTTTCCAAAACATTTTAATAAGCATTCTTACAATTCCATTAATCCCCTTTACTCTGAAGATGAGTAGAAATGCCAACATTATTTCCCAAGAAGCAGATATGAGATATGAGGAAGAGAAATTAGTTAAGAAGGAGTCTAATTTTTTGGTAGGGAAAATAGAGTACACAGTTGTGCCTTTAAGTGGATAGATGAAGGGGGGGCTATCTGGTAGTGAAGGGATAGATTGGGTTTAGGTTTGCTAAGATCCTGAGGTTCCTGTGAGTTACACAAAGAGACAAATATACAGAGATCAGTTGTTTTACATTGAAGTAGATGGAGAGGAAGAGAGAGAGAGTGAGAGGGAGAGAGAGAGAGAGAGAGAGAGAGAGAGAGAGAGAGAGTGTGTGTGTGTGTGTGTGTGTGTGTGTGTGTGTGTGTGTGTGTGTATGTTTGGAAGAGTGGATGTCTTAATCTCTTTTTATCCTTAGACTCCATCCCTGAACCCAAAGTATTTTAAAGGTTCATTTCACCTGGACTTTTATAGAAAGTGAATCTCATGTTGACAGCCTTCTTTTCCCAGATGCTCATACATTTCCACCTCAATTTTTATTTCCCTTATCTTTATCCCACACAATGACTTTGATGAAATGAATGAAGGACACTGAATTTTATTTTCCCAGATCTATAAATCCAAAGGCATGTCTCTTACCTTTTCTTCTGATTCATTTCTAACCATCTTTCTCAAACAACTCCAACAAAGGTTAAATCTACAGAACATCTCAAAACCATGATCCCTTATCTAGCTTTAGATATCTATGTGAAAATGAACTAGAGCTTTAAATATTGCCAGAGAGTACCTGCACAAACACACACAAAATGTATTTTTTCCACTTATATCCTGGGGTCATTTCAATTTCCACAAAGTAAATCATATTTTGTTTCTTATCTGACATTCCCAGTGGCCTTGAGTTTCAGGTACTGTGGAGAAAGAGTAAACAAGCTCCTTAGTCTAATGCTGTGACTTCCCTGTCCTTGCCTAGGACTCTAGAGACTGGGGAACTGGTTTCCCACCACCTTGCACGCTAGCTGTTTGTGTTACCTCTGAGGCATATTAAAACATACAAAAGTCATCTTTCATTTTAACTAGTGTCTTTCACCTAATGCTATCTTTTGTCTCCTTTTGTCCATTTTACAGATACCAAAACCACTATTTTTCACAAAATCGCTGAATCATGGATAGGTATGTGTGTCTTCTGATCTGTTCTTCTGATCGTTCATTCCATGTGAGCTTGGCAAAGGCAGGGACAGAAGAAGAATACTTTCCTGATAGACACCAACATGCTCCTATCTCTCCCCCTACCACCGCCTACTTTCACTTTTGCTTAGGAAGCCTGATCTCAATCTTGCCTTATCCTCCACAGGTTCTCCTCTTAGTCTACCTCTTTGGGATTGTCTCTTTATTGCTGGTGTAACTGGAGGCAAGGTAGGAAGAATAAGATGCAACTTTGGGGCTGTATGTTCTGTCAATTTTCTCCCTCCTTACACAAACTGATGCTGCTACCCCAACAAGTAAATATGGGATATAAGGAAGAGGAATTAGTTAAAAGCCCCATTAGTCCATCATTGATCCCCAACCTGAAAAGAAGGGAAAAATTTTGGTAGGGAAAATAGACTAGATAGTTGTGCCTTTAAGTGGATAGAAGAAGAGGAAGGAAAGAAGACAGGCTGGGCTCAGTGGTTCAGTCTATCATCCAAGCACTTTGAGAGGCCAAAGTGAGTGGATTGCCTGAGTCTGCGGGTTCGAGACCAGACAGGGCAACTTGGCAAGACCTCATCTCTACAAAAATCAAAAAAATTAGCCGGGCATGGTAGCATGCACCTGTAGTTTCAGCTACTTGGAAGGCTGAGGCGGAAGGATCACTGGAGCCCTGCTAGCATGGACTTTATTGAGAATGGCCCTTGAAGAGGTTGCCCTTGTTAAAGTTGCTTAAGATCGTTCTCTCTCCTTTCTCCACCACACTTCTCCTGCCTTTCTTGGACAGACTGCCTTTGCAGCTGAGCTAGCTTATACCGGAGGCTCCAGGACCTGGATAATAGGCCCAGATCCCCGGATCAAATATGCACTGGTACCTTCTTTCCCTCTCCTCAGATTTTCTGCTCTACACAGAATTAAAAATATCGTTCTCTTTAATTTTCAATTTTCCATAATTGAGTTTCCCCTGGAAAATCTTGCTCTTGATAATTCGTTAGAAAGAGCCTGCTGTTCTAAACTAAGACCTTTATGAACTCAGTGGAGATCTTGGGCCCACTTGCCTAGTAGGAACAAGAAAGAAAAGCCCCATTAGTCCATCATTGATCCCCGTATGAAAAGAAGCACAAAAGTGATAGAAAGAGAGCAGTGCCTCTGCTTCAGTCTAGGACCCTGTGCCAATCTAAGGCAATATTTTTCAAAGTGTGAATTCAAACTAGCTGAGACCCTTGTTAATAATTCAAGGGTCCTTGACTTCCTGCTCCTATGAATAACTGGCTTCAAGGAATCAGACCAACAAATCTGCCCTTAACAGGTACCTTGGGTAATTCTCACTCACCCTAAATTTGAATTCTACTCATCCAAAGGTTGATGAATCTGACCACCAAACAGGATGGGTCAGACCTTATTTTTGAATGTCATGCACAAACAAGTTTTCTGGTTCCAAGAAGGTTAGGCCTACACCCACTCATTCACTCTTTCAGAAGCTCTACATGCACTGTCTTCTCTCCAGCATCATAGACAGGGAATTGCTGCCTGTATCCCCAGCCTCTCTTCATTTCCCTGGCCTGCAATGTAAGTATTTGCCCCTCTCATTTCATAAGGTCGAGGACTGGTGACCCTGGATGGTTCTAAATGGCAACAGCACCGCCAGATTGTAAAACCTGGCTTCAGCATCAGCACTCTGAAAATTTTCATCACCCTGATGAATCAGAGTGTACGACTAATGCTGGTAAGAGGAGGGGAGAGCATTCCAGCTAGGCCTCCAAAGTGAAGTGCTACCAACTGTAAGGTGCAGGGGACTCTAATCTTCCACAGAATTGTGCTCTCAGCTGTTTGAGTGGGATTATTTGATCTTTGGACCATAAGCATCACACGGGCAAGGACCCTGTCTTACATACCCAACACCTATCACAGGGATGAATTAAAGGTAGATGCTCAGTGAGAATTACTTGAGTGAATGAGTGAATAAGTCAGGTAGTCTCAAAACACTTGGAGAAAACAAGGCAGAAGAACAAATCATTGTGTTCAGTGGTTCAGACAACAATAAGGGTAGAAATACTCATACCAACAATAAAGGTAGAAACCATGGAAGTAAATACCATGTTCAGGAGCTTCGGTCAGGAAAGACTTCCCAAGGAAGGGTGACAGGAGCTGGATCTTGGGAAATGGGAGGTGGTGTCAGACAGAGGACAGCCCTGTGGTCAAGGGGGAAGGGGAGCTTTGACTTTGGCTAAGGAAGAGGAGGGTGCAAGGCTTTTCACAAGACATATATAGTCCATAGAGAAGACTCAGTTGTAAGTCTCCAAACCTCTTCTTTTGGAGGTTGGATGCCAGACACATGCCAGGTTATTTTGAACACACGCAGGGTCTGTTTCAGAAAGCCTGAATGAGGTGATTGTGAGGACTCAAAGACCAAGTGTCCTCTAGGATTTATAAATTCTAAGTGTCTCAGGTGGCCCAGAGAAGCCACCAAAGCTCACTTCACTTTAAAAGACGATGAGAACTTGTGACACCAGATGTCTGGGTCCAATGAAGCATTAAAAGAGAAAGAAACTTTCTAGCTTTCATCTAGTTTGGCATGACCTACAGGATGTAAACAAAGAAAATAGAAACCGTGGTATTTATTGGCCATCTACTAGTTCCTAGGCACTGGGTGAAGCAATTCTACACACATATCTCAATTCTAATAACAAAGACATATTAATGATATAGAGGCTCGGAGACATGGTTTCACCTAAACAAGTTACCTTGGATTCTAACTGGTCCCATACTTTCCAGTGTGCCATACTGCTATCATTTCTGACCCTTGTCACCATGCCCACTTCCTATTTCAAAATAAAAATCAAGGCAAAAATAGAAAATAATGTTAGAAAATAATTTACTATAGACCGGGAATGGTGGTTCAAGCCTTTAAACCCAGCACTTTGGGAGGCCCAGTAGAGAGGATTGCCTGAGCCCACAGGTTCTAGAACAGCATAGGCAACATGATGAGACCTCATCTCTGCAATAAAATAAAATAAAATAAAAATTAGTCAGACGTGGTAGTACACACCTGTAGTTCTGGCTACTTGGAAGGGTGAGGCAGAAGGATCGCTAGAGCCACTGCACTCCAGCCTGGGCGATTGAGTGAGACTTCAACTAAAAAAAGAAAAAAATGAAAATAACTTAGTGCTTACTATGTGTCAGAGGCTCATTATGGCTTTATACTGCTAAATCTTACAACTTTTGTATATTATTTCCATTTTACTAGTAAGGGTATTGAGATGCAGAGATTAAGCAGTTTTTACAAAGTCACAAGACAGATGAGAGGCTGAATTGCATTCAAATTCAAGCCTCCTTGACTTGGAAAACCACATGCTGAACTGACACTCTTCTCATCTAGCCTAAGGCTGCCCCCCGGTGATATTCCCTTCAACCCACTGCATCCAGTGCCTCACCTTGCCATGCCCTCACCAACACTCAAACAAACATCACCTCCATTATCACCTACCTCTGGCTCTTTCTCCAGTCTTCTGGGCTCCATGGCAATTGCACTCTTTCAGAATTTTAGTAATGTGTTTGAAGAAACACTTTTAACTTGAATTAATTAATTCACTTTACAGAGTTAATAATAGCTTAACAGTATAAAATATTTATATTGAAATGAAGAACTTGATCTCAATAAACACCAGGCTTTTAACAAAGTGAACTTTTCTGGGATGTCGGCAGGTATGTCCAAGGCGCAAATACATCTGAATTCTAAGTTACTGTACAGATGAAATGTTTCTGTCTTCACCTACACTCAAAAAGCTTTGCTTATTTATGCTTTTCACATATTTTTAAAATTCCTATTTCTTATTCCATGTTTTGTCATCTTAGTTTTCCATGGCTAAGAGCCATATCAAATAACAGAACAAAAACCTAAAAAAAAAGTTAAAAAAAACTAAATATTTTCCCACCCTGAAAAAGTCACAAATAGCATAGTGTGAATGAATACTAAGGCACAGTGTTCATTTTTATTTTTTATTTTTGTTTTTTATTTTATTTTTTTTAATTTTTTTTTTTGAGTTGGAGTCTCACTCTGTCGCCCAGACTGGAGTGCAGTGGCTGCTCCCGGCCACCGCAGCCTCGACGTGCTGGGCTCTGGCGATCCTTTCACCTCAGCCTTCCAAGTAGCCAGAATTACAGGCGCACGCTACCACGCCTGGCTAATTTTTTGATTTATTGTAGAGATGAGGTCTCGCTTGCCCAGGCGGGTCTCAAACCCGTGGGCTCAGGCAATCCACTCACCTCAACCTCCCAAAGGCGCGGGATTACAGGCTGAGCCACCGAGCCCGGCTCAGTTTTCATTTTTAGTATTGACAAGGCAATTTGCTTTATATGATTATCATGATACTGCAAATCATTTTGTACACTTTCTATTTCCAAGCCCCAAAAAAGCTTTAAAAGGTATACAAAAGAACTTAGAAATGAGGAACAGATGGGCATGTGTATGATCCTGATATCTGTCTCCTGCCCCAGGACAAATGGGAGAAACTCATCGCCCAGGACCCACATCTAGAGATCACTGAACATGTCTGTTTGATGACCCTGGACAGCATCATGAAGTGTGCCTTCAACCAAGACAATACCCAGAAAAACAGGTCAGTGGTCAAAGGAAGGTACTTGTTCATCAATAACTGTGTCACCCATTAACATGCCATCTCATCTGTCCTCTTCCAGAACCCTGGACTCATACCTGGAAGCAGCGCTCAATTGTGCCAAATGCTCCATCTGGCGCGCAAACAATTTTCTGTATCACAACGACCAGATTTTCAAATTCAGCTCTCAAGGCCAAATTTTTAATAAATTTTGCCAAGTGATACAACAGCATACAGGTTAGTCTTGGGCTTTACCTTGCCAGAGTCCTCTGTGAGATACCCCATTGTCTGAGACACTGACCCTGGCTCTGGCTGTTTCTGTTATGGACATATGGCATGTCCATTATTTGGCAATGCTGATTTGAACTTCTTAAATGAATGTGCTACATAAATCCTAGATAGAGTTTTTGCTTTGCTTTGTTTTGTCACCCAGCCTTGAGTGCAGTGGCAGCAGCCTTGACCTGCTGGGCTCCGGTGATCCTTCCACCTCAGCCTTCCAAGTAGCCAAAACTACAGGCACACACCACCACACCTGGCTAATTTTTTGATTTATTGGAGAGATAAGGTCTCGCCAAGTTGCCCAAGGTGGTCTCAAACCTGTGGGCTCAGGCAATCTTCTCACCTTGGCTTCCCAAAGTGCTGGGATTATAGACTGAGACACTGCGCCCGGCCTGAGTGTTGTATTATTGAGTATATCGATAATCTTGGGAATTCATAAATCTACCTATCAAAAAGCCCATTTAGAATTGTTACTTATTCCTGATTTATCATTTTATCTTGAAAAAATTGGTCTCTTTTTCTTTGATAATGTTTTTTTTAATCAATATTTTTTATTATGATATTGTAGGGTACAGTTAAGGGTTAGGTATACAAATATGCTTCGTTCAGGCACCCTTGTTGATAAGAGGTGTCTCCCCATCCCCAGACAGATATTTACTACTGTTGATCCTGTCTCCCTTCCTCTCCCCCCCCATAGTTTCCCACCACTGTCAGTCATTTTCTTATAGTATTACATTGGATGCTCAAGGTCCACTATATGAATGAGAGCATGTGATACTCAGATCTTTGTTTCTGTGAGAGGTCACTCAGTA